CCAGGTGGGTTAAGTCAGTGTTAGGCACGGCAGGTGTTGACACAGCAACTTTCTCAGCTCATTCCACTCGAGGAGCATCCACTTCAGCTGCTACAGCTGCTGGGGTGTCTCTACATAGCATCATGAATGCAGCGGACTGGTCACGAGAGTCTACCTTCCTGAAGTACTACAGGAGGGACAACAACCAACACACGTTTGGCCAGGCTGTGCTGTCCACGGCTCTGAAGTCTGTATAAGGTAAATGATATACCCAAATAGGGAGTGTGCAGGTATAATTGGGATTATCCTTCATGGTAAGTACAATTTGCCTAATCCTCAATTATACAATTGAAATTCTACTACAGGATAAGAAACAGAAATTTCTTCTGGATGTTGAAGACACCCATTGCAGCAAAACTAAATTTTCTGTGTCATTCTTTTAATGTACAGTAGTAAGTTACATCAATCCTATCCCATAGCATAGTCAGTATGATATTTGTGGGACTAAAATGCAATGTCACTGACAGAGAACTTTCTTGTTTTGTATCATAGGCTAGTTCTAGCTATTTATGGACAGTACCCAAAAACCTAAGGGGCTACTCACTTACATTTTGTACATGTAGCTTCCTTTGGGGCTTAACTTCAAATGCTACAAGTCTGAAATAATGACGAAAATGGGCTAATTGGCAGTAAATGTCAATATCAGACAGATTTCCTCATTCATATTATATTGTTTAGCCACCTTAAAATTTCATTAGATGCCTTTGAAATCCATCACTCATCTCAACATCATTAGAATGAACTGGCAAAACTCTTTTGGTGTCTCACTTTGTACCAGTGCACAGCAGTATTCCTGATTTTGCAATACAAGCAGAACCACAGCATAGTCCACTTCAGTTGTGATAAGTGGGACTGGTCCATCAACAGGTCCTGACCATACATGTATGCAGCCGGTAGGAAATAGAGCCATCATGGCAGTGAAGTCATGCACAGGAGAAACAGGATATCAGGCAAATATGGACCCCAAGTGATGGCCATATTTTAAGCTATCTATAGAATTTTGGACCTTGAGTATAGATCAATGACATTGTGTACAGTGAGTTGTAAAACATCAATCCAGGAATTTTGTATGATATGTTTTAAATAATGTTGCCTTGTGGATGAAAATTAATGATAAAGTAACTAACCACATGTGGTAAGATTAAAATGATACGTGAGCAACAGGTAAAGACCCTGTTAAACACAGAATTTCAGTGTTCAGGCCCAGTCACTATAGATAGCCAAGACTTGGCCTGTTAAGGACAGCTTCCAGACACAAAACATTTTTGCAAGAAATCCTGGAGTTCAAAGGGAATTGACATGAAGCTTACTTGTATTTTGCATTTGTATCTTTTAACAACACTGTACTTTAAATTTAACATCCTGTCTTATATGAAAAAATTTAAAATTACACATATGACTGGAAAATCAAAAAGCTGAGCTGATTAATATTTCTTATAGTATTGTTACAGTACAGTAAAAGCCATGTATAAGAGTTAAAGTATTACAGAAATCCAATTTCGGTTGATAGCTGCCATGTAGCATTCCAGAATAGGATCCGGGGAGTCTGTGGTTGAAGTACCAGGACAAACATGTTTGTCCTCCAGGCTATGAACACAGGCGGGCTTATTGAAGAGTCTAAGACCACATTTGGATGTGTTTATAAGTCTGGGCTGTGCGACCAGCAGTAGGTGTACAGTATAACCTGTGTCAGAGTTGTCTCCCCACCCACCACAATGTAAACTTCAGTCAATGTGAAACACAGATGGACACCTGTGGCGAAGGTTTGTATTGGGAGGAATTTTGGCTCAGGTATAGCAAGAAATGCATGCCAGCTTTGTGTGTGTGTGTTTTTTAAGGCCACACCAATTCAATTTGCTGTCACTCAGCTATGATAATTATTAATCAAAACATGAAATCCATAATAACAGAAGAAAGTCTAACCCATAAGCCAACAAGCCAGTGGGAATGTACCCTGTAGCATTTGTGCAAAATACTTTTAATTTTATTGCACACTTATTATAATGAAATGTGAAACATCATAGCTTAATCACATTGCTCCACAATTCAGAAAACATTTAATCATAGTGATTCTTACCATTTTCAAGAGGAATGTGCCCTTACTTTAATATTCACCTTGACTTGTGTACATTAAATTTTGTTACCAATGTGCAATAAACATAATGTTACTGTTTTGTATTTTAAAAGAAGAAAGCTTATTGTGTGAGAACCGAGGGACTGGATTGATGTTGCCTAAGAGTGATTTTTGCTGAGGATGGCAAGTTGTGCCTGCCAGGGCCAGTGCCTGACCCTACCTCATTCCGCCGCATGCCAGGCTGTTTGGATTGGTGGTTCACCAGCACTCAGTCTTTAACTCAACTGCCTACAAGCTTCAGTCCAGTCTCTCCACGCTGTACAAGACTTCGGTCCACTCAGTTAACTGTAACATCACTTTGGAGGCTTGGGACTTCATCCTCGTGTGTGTGGAGCATCTCTGCTTTTGGACCTGAGGATTGAGTGTTTGAATCCCAACTGTCACCCGGAGTACCAGTTAACAAGGCCAAAGTTCTATTCACAACAGGGTCTTCTTACTCGTCCACTGCTTTTGTCAAAAGCGCAGGTTCAGTTTTTCCATATGCCTGTTATTCTTGTCACAATCGCCCACCAGTCTGGAAGATTAGATTCTCTGTCAGCTAAAATGGACTGGGCTGTGTTGCTGATATTCCATCCTTGCATATACATACATTTTGTGTACTTAAAAAGCCTTGCCAACTTGACTGAATCCTTTTGGAATGCATCTATCGACACTCCTATGTAGTGCCAAAATTTCTTTCTCTATTTCCTCAGGTGTAGGGTTAAACATTGGATCTCTGGCCAAGCCATGGATTTTACAAAATTGTTTCTGTAATTTACTGGCATCTGGCTCCCTGTGTTTATCTGAACCTTGGAACCACCATGGTATTTGTTACATTATAATGTTGAAAGTTGAATTTCTGTACAGTTACTTGGAGCTCTTCCATCCTGACCTGTAGCTTGATTCCCCAGAATGTAATTTGTCTAATTTCTCTGGATCTGATCCTCATTTTGTATTTAGTCTCTGAAGAGAACTTCTAAGGGGACCAGCCTGGCCTGGTGACAAGTGCTGTGAAAGGGGTGAAAAGGAGGGAAACCTGACTTGTACCAGCCGGAAGTCACAGCGTCTGCATTCACACAGATGCCCCGTCTGTTAGCATTGTCCCTGTGTCTTTCATCGTCTTTCCAATCCCTCAGAGCCTTTTGAGACTTAACAGTGTGTTAATCTCTGAAGTACCCTGAATCAACCTGTTGTTTTTGAAAGCCGTGGCAACAGCAACTTTCAAAGTAGATTTCTCCAGACACCTCTGCAGGAATCGAGGGTCAAGATCGTGGTCTTTCTTCCGGTATTCCAGCCCTCATTGTGGACCTTTGTGTATGAATGTGACGTCTTGCTTTCCTGAGAGACAACAAGTTTTTGGAGAAGCTGTGAGCTGGTTCAAGATACCAGTACCGCCTGTTTTCTGCACAGATCACCAAGTATCAGCAGCAACATTTTCCACAGGACATAACAGATCCTGGATTTTTGCTGACTGAAAGTTAATTAACTGCGGTTTTGCTACTGTTATTTTCAGCATTTGTGTTTCTTGCCATCAAGCCAGAATACGCACTTTGGCAACAGCTGCACTCCAACGTTAACTCTCCTGGGGACAAAGCTTGGATGCTTTTCCATTGGCCAAGGAGGAACTCGTAAGATTTCAGACTACATGTACTTATAGTGCGGCGAAAGTGGACTTCTTGCCAAAACCTGACCACAATCTCCACCATTACCCAAGTCTTCAGACATTCATGTGAAAATTGGTCGGAGTGGAAGATCTTCAAGAATCTGCAGCATTGTGATTGGAGACCTGGCATCTCGTGCGAAGGGAATTGTGGAGGTGCTTCGGTTTCCTCCTGCATCAGCAAACCTGTGCAAGAACTCTTCACAACAGGTCTAACTGTCACTGCCCAGCCTGCGCCTCCATGCAATTCTGAAGGTCTGGAACCGCCTGTGAAGACGTGTGTAAAGCCACACCGATTTACAGTTGTAACTGTTACAGCAAACTTGTTTGGGAACCTACTGTACAACTGTATGTCTGGAGCCACTGTGTCCATTCCCTCGCTTCTCATGTGAAGATTTAAAATTTGGCATCTCCTAGAGGAAAAGTGCAGCTGGGCCTGTTTCCATCCCCCACTACAACACAAACTTGTGACTGGAAGGCAAAGGACCAACAAACTCCAGAGGGAAGACAAGGAAGTTCCTACCAAGACACAGAAGATTTTCCTCAAAGTTTCCTTGGTGAAGATTTGAGTGCAGGCCCTTTCCCATCCACCTCTGCATCAGCAAACTTGTGACTCCACGTAAAACCAAGACTTCCAAAAGACCTACAAACTTTAACGAAGTTTGTTCCATGATGGAGATGTTCCTGACAGTTTCCTATGTTGTGTTGGTCCTGCAGTGCTCGGTGCCGTGTGGGCGGGGACAGCGCACACGGGAGGTGAACTGTGTGACGAGCACGGGAGAGGTCCGGCCTGACGGCGAGTGTAACCTGCGGATCCGGCCGCACCTGGCCGAGGACTGCGACATGGGCCAGTGCGCCAACTCCTGGTTCTACTCCGACTGGGGAAAGGTACGTGGAGATCCTTTTTCTGTTCATTTTCTTTTTTAATTTATATATCAGAATTGCAGCAATGCAGTACAGTGGGCTACCCAGGCAGCATTGCTCATACTCAGTTTGTTATTTATTCAAAGTTTCATAACTTGTTTTTTCAATCATAACAATGCGCAGACTACATTTTCGACTTGTTGTCCCGGGTATTTGACATGTAGCTTCTGAGCTTTATCAGAACAGTATAATGCACAGGTTGAATCTTGAGCCTGTTGGCCCATTTCCAGTTAGCCCTTGGTAAATTACTGGCTGTAACTGGAATATAGGTTTAACTAGCTCGGGGAAAGTGGAAAGATCTGGAAAGTTGGTTCCTGGCCGGAAAAGCTCACATCCTCTGCAGAATTGAACACTTGGGAATTACTGTAGGTTGTTGTGGAGGACAGTATGACGTCTAGGAGTTTGCCAAATGGTCTATGCATGTGGGTGTTAGTTCTTGACTCAAACCCAACTTTTTCGTCAGTGGACACGCACTGTAGCCAACACTGATAGAGCACTTTTCTGGATGCCCCTTGTGTTATTTAGCCTCTGTACACTTGAAGAAGCCACACAGGCAAAACCAGTTGTGTGACAGGCTGAATTTCTAAATGGAAACTACATTGTATGTGGCTCCAGATGTCTTACTGAGGGACAAGCGTGTGGGAGATGTCGGTTAGCTTGAAGAATGAATACACTCTACTATATACTGCACCTTTTGAGTGCTGTACAGTTGCAATGCAAGTGATCTCAAACACTGAACGCTGTTTCATTGATTATGCACTTAGTGCTTAATCAAGTTTTGGCTGATTACTTAGCACTTACATGGGAACTAATTTACTGGAGATACTACTACACAATGTATACCAATTAATAATCCTATAGGATTTGGGTTAAGGTTGTTGGAACATAGGGGTGTCAGAACATAACCAACCCTTCCCCCTGCAGTGCTCCACAGATTGTGGCAATGGCATCCAGAAGCGGAATGTGCTGTGCATCCTGAGTCAGGACCACGACCTCCCACTGGGCAGCTGCGATGGCAAGGAGAAACCCTCGGAGACGCAGTCGTGCGACATGGACAGCTGTAACAGGAACAGCGCACACTGGTTCTCTGGACCTTGGGGGCCGGTCAGTTGGCTATCTTTATTTCAAGTTACTAAGTTACTTAATAGGTAGTTAGAACAAGTTACACCAGTTGCTTAGGGGAATAAGGACCAGCAGTGACTTACATTATGCTATTCATCTCCATTCTACAGATTCCACGTACATGTAGTTGTAACCACTGCCTGTTACACTTATACTGTCTATTATTAACAGAAACAAATACAGGATAATATAGAAACTTGAATGGCCCTGATTTTCAGTGGATAATAGAACTCAACCAACTTTTGAGCAACCAATAAAAGTGATGGTAAAAACACAAGCAGAGATGTATAATAGATCATTACAGGTTCTGAATCTACATGTATTTGTGTGAAAAGAAGTCTATGATTTACCAGCTGCAATGGATTTAACTTTGCCCTGCCTACCTTTCCCTGCAGTGCTCAGCGCCGTGTGGTGAGGGCACGCAGGAGCGTGACGTCATGTGTATTTCGGTGAACAAGCGGGAACAGGCGCACCACATCGTGTCCCACCACCGCTGTGAGCAGGGCAGCCGGCCGGCTCACCAGCAGAGGTGTGAGGTCCAGCCGTGCACAGCCATGTGGTACCACACCGACTGGAGCCAGGTATGGACATACATGTACCAGGGTTCCAAATATCCACTGTGCGAGTTTTCTGTGTGAGACTTATTGGAGACATTACTTTCCCAGTGCACAAGTTATCTATTTTTTTTTATTTTTTGCATATACAAAGTGACCTTTTAAAGTTTACAGCGGCCCAGCTTACTGCTTCTGTAGTAAATCTTGTCCTGTCACAGCCAGCATGAAATTTGTTGAACTTTTTGTTTCATTCATAAAATTTCCGTGTGCCTCTCCTATTTTTTTCCAGTGTTCAAAGACCTGTGATGGTGGGTACCGGGTGCGCGTTGTTCAGTGTCTGGACGAGAAACAGCAGATCAGCACCAAGTGCAACAAGGCACTCAGGCCATCCGATCGGGAACCATGTAGTGTCAAGCCCTGCTACATCGCAACCTCACATGGTAGGTAAAAATGTAAAGGTTTAGGGTTCAGATCCCAGCCTAAAACACAGTGTCCAACTTTTCTGCATTGAGGCCTCAGACAGGCATGAATGGTGATCAGAAGTCCAAAACAAGATTTTCTTTCCTTCCATTAACTTGTTCCCTGTTTATTTCAGCCCCTGTTTTCTACCGCCCCTCCACCCCCAGTGCTAGTAAGTACGGAAACGTTTCACTTGGCAGCCTTGGCTTCAGTAGTCAGCATCATCAGTCTGTGCAATACAGCCCATGCCTGCAGACAACTCAGGCCACAACTCAATTTGTTGGTTCACATAATGTCTGAAAATTAATGCTCAAGTCTCAAGAATCCAGAGAAAGTTGGTATACCTTCAAGTTGGTGCACTGTGTTCACAGTTTCAAATGGTGACTGTATACGTAGTCAAGATTTTAGGCAGGTATCTGAAACTATTATAACTGCCAAGTCTCCTTCATTCCCTTTGACTCAACATCTGCATTAGCTTGGGTACCATCCTAAAACCATCATTTTTATCTTGCCATGATCTTTTACTGTAAAATGTCAGAAAACCAATAAAGTGAATTGATGTGGCCTAAGCTGGGTGAACTCTTACTTAGTAGTAGACTAGATAGTTTGGGGTGTGGGCTTTCCAGGGAATGGTCTCTATATTAGATACTGTTAACAAGGCTTTCAGGTAAATATAGAGGGCTTTAAGGACAAATAAACTAATTATGGTTTTGGGGCCTTTTAACACCAAATCCTGTGTGCAAAAAGTGATTTACTGGTTTCTACCAGTCCCGCAGACATTGGGGTACTGTATTTGGCTCAAATATCACCCCAGTGTGTGTACTGGTAGAAACGTTGGCGTTAAAGGCCCCAAAACTGAAATTACCAATGTAGTTTATTTTTGACTTAGCATATGTGTAACTAGCTGCTGCTGTGTACCAGGAAGGTTGTTGTGTTACGCCATACGTGTACGTCAGTTGTACTGGCTGAGGTGCTCTTGTGTCTGCCTGGGTGTCAATAACAAAGTTTGCTCTCTCTTGGTTTCAGGGACAGTCTCCGGCTTTTCCACCTCTCCTGTTAGTAAGTGGAGAAACGTTGTAGTTTCATGCGGTGATTTTTCCAAGTCTTGGGTCAGTAGAGCAGAGAATAGACCAATTCAGACTCACAAAAACTGCTTACATCACTGGGGGGCGTGACATACATTAATTCAATTAAGTTGGCAAGAAGTTATGGTTAGGGTTGTTGATTTAGAATCTAAGGTTCTGGGTTCGAATCCCTATGTCTTATACTATATTATAGCAGGCCCTAATGCTTTGCCCTTGGGAAAGCCACATTACATCTATTTTCTCACTTGACTCAGGAGAAAATGAGTACATAGGGATGTCCTCTAGGATTAGATGAGATCAACGGCTGGAGCACAATCCCTCCACGCTTACTGAAAAGCATAGGTCCATCCTATTGTGTGTGGATGAAACCTTACAATCTGGACTAATTCAGCCTGTACATATCATACTAATTCAGCCTGTACATATCATGTACCTGTGTACAAAACTGGTGTGTTGTGCCCATATTGGTAGTTTAATGGTGATGTAAAACAAAAACATACTTTGTACTTTGCATGACCAAATTTGAAGGCATTAAACATTTACTCAGCATGTTTGGATACATTTTAAATGTTGACTCAGAGGAAAATGATGAACATCTACATGTACATATTTCTATGATGCAAGCAGTTTTTGTGGGTCTGAATTGGGTTTATGGTACTTGTAGAGGTGGATATTTGTACAGAATTTTGCAGGGTGAAGAGGAGTGGGCATGTATTAACATGTTCTCTGTCAGTTTCAGAACCTGCAGAGCGCCTCTACTCAGTTGCTAGTAAGTACAGCTCAACTAGACAACAAGTGGTGATGTGTCCTTGTGCAACTTGATGGCTGCAGCTTTTCTCATTTTTTTATCACCCTGAAACAAAAGAAAGTTGCTTTATGAACTGCAGGGTTCGTTCAAAATAACTTGGCAGCAAGACTGCATACATGTACATTATATAAGGCAAAGCTTTGACTTTCCACTACAACACTAGAGAAGTTTTGTTCTCATCCCTGAGATTAAAAATGGACTAATCCAGAGCTTCTGTGTGATGTTTTTTTTATGTAACCCACTAATGTTTTGTTGCCTAACATGTATGTACATGTATTTTTGGAGTTTATAATGGGCATTTATTCCAGGTACATGTAGGAGTGCTGAGTCCTAATCTCTCACCAGTGATGTTTGTCTCCCCAAACAGCTGCTGTTAGAGCTTTAAATCTTTGAAATCCAAGTGCTCGCACAAAAAAGGCAAAGATGTATACTGAAATCTGACCACTTGTTGCTTCTAAAATTCCTTTGTTTCCCCCTTTTAATTCCGTTTCCAGGACACCATAAGTGTGCTAATAAGCTTTATGTTTTCTGGCTAAAAATGTGTAATATATTATAATTGTTATTTCCAGGGAACAGTGATGACAGTTGCATTGACAAGTTCCACAACTGTAACCTGGTGGTGCAGGCACGAATGTGTCACTATGGTTACTACAAAAAGGTCTGCTGTGCCTCCTGTTTCCACAACAAAGGCTACAGCTAGTCAACGCTTCAGGCTGCGGATGAAGAGAACAGGCAACAGTCCAGGAAAAAAACACATTCATCTAGTCTCAACCAGTTATAACCAGTCCAGAAAAAGTACATACTGCCAGTTTGAACAGTTACTGGTTTAAAAAAACTAGCATAAAGCTTGTCAAAACTGGTCAGAACCTGATCTTTACAAGAAATCCACCATCATCTGATGAATAGTTTTTACTGTAAATTTACTGTAACATTATTCTGCCTTTAGAGAGCAATTAGACAAAGACATTAGTAAAAACGTAAAATCTTATCATGTCTAAAACATTGACCCACAGACTCAGCTAAGCCTATGGTATCTCATATGGTTTGAGTCTGACCATACTATAATTATTCATTCATAAAATGGCCACAAAAATCACATACATTGTAGAGTCGCTTATTATTATAACATTTCAGGCCAATGTGGAAATTGATTCCTGGTAAAAAGGCCATAGACACACTCCCAAAATACTGGCAATGCAGATCTTCATTCAGAAGAACAACTTTTACCTGTCTAAAATGAATTTACAGTTGGGAACTTTCTTTCAATAAACAGTTAATTCAAAAAGTCAATAATATCTGATTCAAGGACCTAACAAGCCTAGTAAATTGCTTACTACACTCTCAATTTGTAAAGAGTTGTTAGAGATAAAGCATATGATCCAACAATTTTGTGGACTACCAGTACAAAGCATCACAAATTCTGGTCCCTGTCAGAGTCCAACCATCCCAATGTTGAATGTCCCTCTTCCTGCTGTATATTTTACCCAGTGTTTGTATGATAGTATGAACTGCTCATGAGCAGCATTGGTATACCAACTCTAGAAAAAAAGGTAGTGTGAGGCACGGTGACGTGTTGCTCGGTTTTCCTGTCAGCCAAATTAACGACGTTTGATTGGTTCATTGTCAACCAATCAGAACCCTGCATTCCTATATCAAGAGCAAGCTGCTTTTGTAAGCATAAGAGTAAGAGGTATCTACATGTACGTATATAGAACAATATATTCTGGTACAGATAGAAAGCATGTAAATATTGTGATATGGACGGCATATTACCAAAGGGGAATAGGGGAATATTAATGTTAGTTTTAGCTTTGGACGAGGTGTATCTTAGCAATTATGTATGAACAGAGTTTCAAGAGAGAGAGAAGTCTTTATAAAACTATGTGTGTCAATCTACTTGATACTTTTCTTGATGTTCTTATTGTGTACATTGTACATTGTCTTGGACACACTGGATGTTGCATGGAGGAGTAGGAGAATAATCGTCTTCTGGCAAATCATAACATTTCTGCATAGATCCAACCTGCAGCAGCATAGAATGGATGTTGCATCAGGCAAAGAAAATGTCAGCATGTGGATCACTATGTCTGTGTCTGTGTGTGTGGATCACTAGCCTGACTTCATCCTGCTTCTAGCAGTCCTTCTACTCAGGCCCCTAGAAGCTTGATGGCCAACACCTCTAAGTCAAGACATTATAATTCTATTGATTTGTGCATACCGGTATGTGACTTATCCATGTCAGACTGTGAACTGTCTGTTACCATGGTGTTGGAGGCTGTGATGACTGGTTTATGTTGTGACAGATAACCCTGGGCTCTCATTGTGGTAAAGAATCCTGAGCTACTATTGGTAGTTCTGATAATGGGATTAATATAATGGTTCTCTTGAGTTAGATGTATAGGATGTATATGAGTTAGAGGTGTATGGCCACAAGCTCTTGGGGAAGAGTCCCTGACAGCGAAAGATTGTATAACTCACACTTGCTAGATGGTCACCATGTGTCACCAAACAACTTTTGCTGTCAAAAAAGAATAATGAATGAATACATTTATGGGCCAGCATACTAAGCATAAGAAGTTGTATTCAGTTTGGTTAAACCTACCTGGCCTTATTTGGTAACAGTGTGAATAATGCATAATGAATGCTGACTTGGGATTGGTCAAGACAGCCTGGCTATAAACATTGTATGTTGTGTGTGATTTTGATTTTAAAATGTAAGTCATGGCAAATACTGGCCACAATGGATTCCATTCATAATGAATAATTTGGCAAGTTTATCTCAAAAGTAATGAAAAAAGCTTTATTTAAAAGGAAATATATCAGTGTTAGTGTAATGTGTTTGACACATGTTGGTACTTTTGAAAAAGACTGAAATACATGTAACCACTTAAAAAAAAATGCTCTTCAATAGTTATACTATCATCTGTATCTGTGTAGTACATTGTCCTCTATTCATTCTTGCCGGTGTGTCTTATAGAAATCTTGTCCAATGTTATCCAGTTTATACATTGTATTTAGTTGTTTGTGTGTTCACATGTTGGTGCAACAATGAGAAGCACTTCAAAAGTGACTGTTTGACAAAGGTCAAACACATTGGCTACTATGTTTTGTGTTGCCCTGCTTGAAATGACTTCATTAATGTTTAAACCTTGGATAAAGTGGTAGTACCATGTAAACTTAGTACAGAAAAAGTTTGAGGAAGGGCAAAACTACCATAAAATTCTTAACATGGTAGAGAGTAGAATTGTTTTAAGAATATGTAATCAGAACTTTATACAAATGTGATTTTTAAATGATTTTTGCCGTATTCGGTACCGATTCAGTGGTGTTACCAAAAAATGTGGATGTCACATACCTGTGTCCAAGACATCTGTTGTATCCAGAGCGGTGTTTTATCCGGAACCTTGCTCAGGCACAGTTCAGGTCTGTACTGTTGCTGGGAGCACATCTGTTGTGCTCTATGCCCTTGTCGTGCTGGTTGTTACAAGTGTGACCTAGTGTCAGAAGTTGTATCTTTCATTCTTGAGTTTATAGTTGATGTAATCAGCAAAGAAAAAGGAAACTCTGTTAAGCTGCATAGGCGAGTATTGGGACAATAAAGACTTTGGTACTTTACTTTTGAAATCCTCAGTTATATAATTATTACCGCTGGCTAGGAGTTAAACTGATCTCCAAGCAGATCTCCAGTGAGGATGGTATACATACTAACATTTTCAGACTGCCGTGCTTCCTCTCTCTGATGGCCACCCAGGAAACTGGCTGTCAGAGAATTAAGTCTGGCAGTCAGAAATCGTTCAGGTCTTCCACCCCAACATCTGCTTGGAGTATTGTTGTCACCCTTCTGTGTTTAATTAACAGTATTACCTGTCACTGTAGATGTGTATACATCTCAATCCTGTCTTCAATTGATGCCTGATCTCTTTACTTGCAACACGTGCCAATGAGATCATACGGTACATCTTCTTTACAACTGGTTTTTCATCTATTAACCAGAGAACCTATCCCTAAATCTTTTCATTTCATTGTTTGGTAAATTAGGTGAAAGTTACATGTAATGTGCACACTGATGCCATCCGACATTACTTGCTGTGGCCTTAAGTGTGTTCACAGTGCTGTTGCAGTAGATTTAAAAAATACGGGTCAGCATATGATGACATGTATAAATTGTTTTAACGTTACACTGTCCAGGACAGTAATAACTTCCTCCCCCTAAAGTGGAATTCCATACTCTCCAAGCAGAGGTTGATGGGGGAAGATCGTTTGCTTTTTTATTTAAAAAGCAAATGATCTTTCCCCATCAACCTCTGCTTGGAGAATAGAATTTCATTCGTAATTACAATGTAACACAGTGACTTTAGGAATCTGCGAACCGCATAACTAAAAGGGGACTATACCTCAACGACTTGTTCTTTCCTACTTATATTTGTTGTAACAGACGAGGCCCTCTACACGAAGTTCAGTACATCATTTTATTTCAATGCGAAATTAATTACTGAGCTGTAAAATATTGCAACGTGTCAGACAGACTTTGAAGACTAGTAGCAAAAAAAAAATTATATGTACAACATATGATAGTCGCTTTAGATATCGCCTCTGCCTTATGGCTATTACGGTACTTCGTGAATACAGACTTAGTTCACGCTTTCGTTGATTTTGTCGTACGGCCGAAATTCTTGTGTTCTGTTTGGTTCCCATGTACCTGTATGAAGTACAACACCAGGATTATAAAGTACGACACCATGCGACTAATCTGCATACTGCAGCATTATGCCTTCAATGGCGACATCTTGAGCACGCTTTGGCGACTTACGGTCTGTCTAGAGACAAAGTTTCGTATAAAGAGTTATAAAAATGATAGACAACGTCAAGTATGTACAGTTATAAACGCTCAAGTTTGTTCATTTGGGCAACTGCTTTCCATAACCAACACTTTCTTAAACCGCAAATATTACTACTCCAGCGATATGGCTATTCAGTACAGAATAAGGAATATTTACGCATTATGTGATACATGAACTTTGTTACGCCACAGACGAGAGAAATCAAGATACTGTCGACATGCGAGGATGAGCGTATGTGACATCTACGTCATGGGACTGTTCTATAAAGTCAGTGGATCTAAACGCAACATGTACATGTAGTCACGGGACTGTGATTGGCTATTGGCTGACAACGTGGTCAGAAAGTCCCGTCACGGATTGGCTTACAGTGACGATAAGGTCCGATCATGTGATTGACTTAGTAGTAGTTACAACCAGTTACAACCTATCTAGAAAGGTCCCATCAAGTGGTTGGCTGACAGCCAGTGGTCACGTGAAGGCCCCGTCATTTCATTGGCTGGCAACCGACGGTGGTCACGTTTGACATTTGAATGGCCGAATATCATGGTCACGGACAGTCTCTGTTCCTCAGCGCGGTTAGATGATATTTTATATATAAAGTTATTTTGTACAAGAATGAGAGCGGTCACCATGGCAACTAAGACGTGATGGAAAGTCACTCCATCTCCATGAGGTTGTGCCAGAACGCGATTGGTTGGTTCTCCTGGTCCAGCGCTTTGCGGAAGTGCTCGATCTCGCTGAGCTCCGTGGCCGTGGCGCCGAACCGAACCTGGCCGATGACGCCGTCGGAGATGATTCGGGCGTGGTCGTAGACGGTGGCGGTGATGCTGACGGACTTGACGGAGTCGTGCGGAATGTGGAGGCTGAAGGCCTCCTTAAAGACGGGGTTACTTGTCTTCCGTCGGATGCGGGTTTGTCTGACGTCATCCTCTCCGCCGTCGGCGCCGGACAAGACTATTTTGACGTAGGGATCTGGAAGTCACAAGAAATCGTTCGTTACTGCAGTGAAAATGTTATTTTGCTTTTGCAAGACTGACTTTGATGATGATGTTAAACGATAATGGAGAAGTACATGTTATTTTTTATTTTTATTAATGGACCATCCTCACGAAAGCGACAATAGCCACATCTCATTGTATGGTGTCCGCATGTGTAATACTGTGTGTGTGTGTGTGTGTGTGTGCGCGCGCGTGTGTGTGTGTGTGTGTGTGTGTGTGTGTTGTGTGTGTGTGGTGTGTGTGTTTGTGTGTGCGCGCGTGTGTGTGCGTGTGCGTGCGTGTGTGTGTGTGTGTGTGTGTGTGGTGTGTGTGTGTGCGTGTGTGTGTATGCGTGTTGCAGTTGGACGTTCATGTGTGTGTGCATGTGTGTGTGCGTGTTGCAGTTGGTAATCTTGCAATTGTGGTGTCTTGTCAAAACTTGAATGCTACGACACGGTTTCCCTAAAACTATGCTGTATTCAGTGATGCATGTTATTTGAGACGTATGTTTTTCCGCATCCGTAGATCAAGAGCACAAAAACGCTCAGGTATCGCGAAAAACACTTGACTTCTCGCGTACACACGTGTGAGATTTGCGGCTCAGGTAGGCAAGTATGACGCACGCGGCTCACTTGACTACAATCAGGCTTGTAGACAATCACCGAACGGCAAGTACTTCTCTCCGGCCCAAAAGAGCAACAGAACTCTCCATGGCTGCCGCTTCAAGTTTCAACCCGAGAGTTATTTCACCCAGCCGTAGAAACGACTACAGTCACGACAAATGCACATTTAGTTAACATAGTTAACCCAAAGCGTTGGTGGTCAGATTTTCTAATGTGACGTGTTTTGGTCCTGTGTTTTGATGTAATCTACCCAGGTGCGGTCTGTATTTGTAGTTGTTGAGAGTGTCAACAAGGCCGCCAGGCTGGGTATCCAAGCGGCGCGTCTGTCGTGTGCGCCACAAAGGAGCAGCCCTGATTAGCTCGGATCATTAGTGCAGACAGATGGCAGGCTGGGAGCTCTCTCTTCCGACCTGATGCACCTGCTCACATCACGACTGAAAATCCACAACTTAGGCCATACAGATGACATCCTCTGGTCACCGTAAAAGTACTGACGGGAGCGCGCGAAAATAAAATAAGCTGGGCTAGAAGTTGCCTTTATTATAAAATCGAAGTGGTGAGGAAGGCATGGTGTACCAAACAGTGGATTCTTTCAGGTTGCAATTGTATCTTCTTTCTGACTTAGCGATGCAAGCAAGTGTTAATTCAAGCCCAGCTCCCCTTCCTCTGACATCCTCTTCTTTTTCTTTTCTTTCGATCTCTGTCATCCTTCAAGTACCAAAAGAAACAGTATATACAGTCACAAACGTAATTTTTTTTTTGGGGGGGGGGGTAATTGATGCACGCTGTGGATGGCTTCGTGTCATCCCGTTTGTCTGTGTAACCATGTGCAATATTTGAAACGAGCCAATGTCTGTTTTTCCTTCCTGTCGTGGTTTCTAATTACGGTGTGTCTGGGTTGCCCAGCCAGCCATCCGTGCGTGATGTGAGTTCTGTTGAGCAAACCTTTGAAATGCTAGGTGCGTATATGGTCATGGTGATTCCGGCTAGTGGTTAGCAGTGCCGCTTCAGAACCAAAAGGTTGCGAGGTCCAGTCCCATTAAAGCTGAGTGTTTTCTAAGCCCTAACATGTATCCTAAGGAAAGAAGCTCTGGACGCTGTAACCTCTCGTGTTTAAGTAACGGCATGCCGTATAATAGATTGAGCTAGTTTAAATTCTCTGTGCGTCACCAAAAGAAGTGCGAGCCATCTTCTTAAAAGGGCTGTGGTAAATGTTGCCTGAAGCCTGTTAGCTCCTTGCGTAGTTTACACATTCAGGTACATAAATATGATATGCAGATCATATCGCATGGCGTTTTATCCCCAAGTTTTCATACCGCCAGTGCCATTTTAACTACTCTCGTTCTGTCAATGGCCGATTTTCATGTAACTAAAGTGGCCTGTTGGAAGCGGCAAGATGAAAGAGATCGCATTAACAACAGGAAGAGTGGGCTAAACAGGCCGACACGCGTAGGAGGCTGACGGTCGGCCGTAGACGGAGTGGCGCACTTTTTATGTCTGCCCAACACAAGAAGCGACAAGGACGTATCTCACACTGCCAGCCGAGCGGCTGCCACGGTAACGTGACGTCACACCTGCTCAAGCATCTTCAAACGCTTAAGTCTGTCCGTGAAGATAAATTCGGACGCTTATGAAAAATAATCCTGGATAAGTGAGGATGATTCTCTCTCATTTAAGTACTCTACTTATGAAGCACATTATATAACCCATCAGATATAGATATCAAGCACAGGTAGCATATTAGCAATTCAGACAAACATCCTCTCGCCAGAAGTCAAAGAGAAGAGCCAGATGTAGCTTTCGTTGACGCGTACTTTTAAGGCGATTTTCGCTAAGGAGAGAGACTTAATGTTGCCTTTCACTGCACACTCTCGACCTCCCTGTTTAATTAGCCGTCTCTACAATGGGGTTCTCCTTGACGTCAAGAGTCCTTTGCGACATTTCAAGAAGGAAACCGCGTGCGTGTGGGAAGTCTTGGAAGGAGGTGTGGGTGTAAAGAGGGATTGGGGTCAGAAAGGGGATATATCTCATTAATGCTGCAAAAATCCTGCATATCCAAGAAACACTATGTCATCAGGACTCGCTGTGCAGCCCAAGTAATCGTGAAAAAAAATTGCAAATGTCTTGAAGGTTTACATGTGATTAGACGTGAGTCGGCTTAACCCCAGTTTTCACTATACTGGCTTGGACCGATGGGCGACCAAATATTGGCGGGTGGCAATTTCACTGAAAAAGAACGAATCTTCTTGCGTTTTTATCTGTGTATCTTCTTGTCCTTGAAATTGTATTTTTATATCGTGTATCATATTCCAGATATTGAACCAAGGATCACACATCCAAATTTGCTCGCTCAATGGACGCTCAGTGGTCGCAATCTAGTGAAAGGGGGCATTGACCAGTAATTCCGATGAAAAGCCACACTCATGAAGGCTGGGTCATCAAATTCTATAGTCATCATAGCAAAGCCTCAGGATTGTCGCAGAAGGACAGCTGACAGTCCAGAAGTTTTAAAAAAAACATGACGGAAACGGAAATTGGCAAAGGTGGTACTAATATAGAAGACACACGATTGGTGACTTTTAACACGATTTTTAAATACATGTATCCGTGTGTGGGCACATTCCTGACGTCATACCTAGGGTGTAGTTACACGACTTAAATGTTTCCTTTTCCTTTCAATAAAAATTTTGAACCCGATATGTACATGCACCTGTTAGTGTTACTCCACTAAGCAGTCTGTCAGCTTGACTACACATTGCCATTTTACGAGTAGATTTCAAACAGGAGGATACTTATCGGTGTTTGTTCCTACCAGTGATTCGAACGAAAGTTAAAGATTAGCGTCAATTAAATAACAAGCATGTTATGGGTCGTGGCTCCATTTTTACAAGAACATCTATCCGAATGTGGACCTATCCACGGAAATCCCTTTTTTTCTTGGCAGATTAAAATGCCGCCAGATTTGGCAATAAGCGTCGTTTTCTCTTGTGAGTTCACACGACCACTGCCTTTTATGAAATAAAATCGAATCTATTTTAGGTTGGATTGGATTGGACACGCCCGAAGATTTTCCGAGAATGTACATTATTCTATCAAAGGCTTCGCCCACAGAAAACATCCACGCGAAGACTGCCTGCAGAGCGGAGATTTCATCAACGAAAGGATATTATTATCAGATAGTCTTGGCGATGGTTGTCTTTATATTATGTCCGAGAATAAACAATCACTTAGAGCGCAGACAGAAGACAAAAGACAATAATCAGGGGAATAGAAAGTGTAGTGGTTTCCACAAAAACTAATCTGTCAGGGGGTCTTTGTCACTTTCTGTAGTTGTATGTTTTTGTCACGTTGAAGACCGGCGTGGTAAAAACCCGCACTAAGAGTTTGGCACCCCCAGAACGGCTTACCGGGTGTCATTTAGACATCCTCGCTCTTTGAACAAAGCCTGTATCCTCCCACATCAATCCTGTGCTGCTCACACTAATAATCTACAATAAGAGTCGTTTGATCAAACCTGTTTACGCAAGGAATAGCGTTAAAAGGTCGATTTAGCGGAAAGGCGGTGGAAATGTGTTTGCAAATTGTCCAAAACGTGGCGTCACAAGGGCTTCACGGGCAGCAACATGTCACTTTAACACCATTACAAACAAAACTACGTGCGATTTTGCACACCCACAATAGACTCCTGTATACCAAGTCAAGAACCTTTCTAGCCCAGCTTACCCCGCATCAAAGTGTGACCTTTGCAATGATAGAGGGGCACAAAAACACTTTCCTGGCCCGATTTTAGCCTTGTAGGGCTGTTTGGCTTCATTCATGGTGCATCTGGCAGCCATTCTTTGCAAGATAGGCGAGCCAAGGGAGGAATCAATAATTAAATTCTGCACACTACAAAGCCTGTATAGAATACAGAGCCGCCTTCAATCGCCTCTGCCCGCCCTGTGTCTGTCCGGGGTGCTGAACCAGCGGTGGTGCTGACTGTTGATGCGGCAGCTCCTCCGCGGGGTGCTGCTTCTTAACGAAAGTCGCCTTGCCCCCGCTCACGAACTCACGTTTGATCTCTAATGGAATATTTATAGATGTGGAACGCCTGAGCGCTAAATTTGCCCGGATCCGGATGGATTCGGGTGTTGTTCTTCCCGAAGTGAGGAATGTCTGGCAATCCATTTACAGGCTGTTAGAAGCGGGTAAGCATTGCCGGGGGCGCTGATAGCAGGGCAGGTGGGTCACTCAAGCTCTTACCTAACGAATTCTTACACAAACTAGAGCTTCAAACTTGAACTGCAAATCAGCAGCTCGGATACGTGTAGAGTTCGAGTTGGCAGTCAGTAAGCGCCAAGACCTTTGGTAATTTTGGAGCAATTAGGGCTCAACGATCTTTGCATTCGGAAGCGCCGGGGCCCTAATTGGCGGGCTGTTTGAAGGTCTGGGATAGGCGTGGTTATGAATATGAATAGACGAAGAGATTCCTGGGTGCATGTTGTAGTGAGCAGATAGGCTCACACGGGAATAGGACTCGCTTCCTTGCATATCACAGTGGCAAGGTGGTCATACGATTAGGGTTGTTGAAGGTTATGAGTTCGAATCCCTAGCAGGCCCCAGTGTTGTGCCCTGGGGAAAGAAGGCACTTTACATCTAACACTCGACTAAGGTGAAAATGAGTGCCTATCTTTAGTCAGGGACGTCTTTTAGCGCTTTAGTCCACCGAGAATTGTTTAAAAGAGAGGATGCAAACACTACTATGTTCGTGACGAATGTTTCAACAATAGGAGGTCTAAAACCACAACGTTCTGATGATTCTTTCTCATGTGCTATGGGCTAAACATGTAAAGGTTCACTAGACTGTGATAACGACTTGCTGTATCCATCCTGTGCATACGTGTAAAGCTGTTTGAGGCATTTCGCTTTCATCCATATCTTTGGAATAACCAGCAGTAATGTCGATGTTCTTCTGCTCTGGAAGATCAGACACTTTCCTGGAAACCCATGAAGTAATTTGTGTGTTGAGAATGGTGTTCCAGGAATTCGAAAGCGCTATTTGCTATGGTAGTGAGATGCAACTTGCATTTGTGTGTAGAATGTATTCATGTTTTTGCCCTGCGGAGTGAGTGATGCTCCAGCGCAGAAAGCATAGGCTATCATTTAGTACAAGATGAACACGTTTCGGCATCGTACGTTTTAGATGCCGTAGAATGTCAAGCAGACTGTGACAAAACTGAAACGAAGATCTAAAACAGCTCTTCTTTCCGTAACAAGACAGCTGAATTTTGTAGGACCCATGTGGACGATACAACAGCTATGCCCTCAGTTTTGTGATCATACGACGATCGTAGGATCTAGGACTATGTGACTAGGTCATTATAGATGCAGTGTAAAGCAGAGTACTGACCAGGTGGCGTTAAGATGTTGTTTCTCGGCAGGTCCTCAGCCTTGATGACGGTGACGATGAGATTCTCTGATCTGGGCTGGTAGCAGAGAGACACGTTCAGCATGCCCAGGTCCTGCACGAAATGGAATATAATGTTATACACCGTATCTATATTCACGTATTTTACTTAATGAATTGTCAAATTTCCACCATCTAGGGCCAATTATCCAGCGGCTAGAGCGAGTATCCACTTCAGATCGGCTAGAGGTTATTGTCTTTTTGTCTGTCCTCTTCCGTAAACCCCCTTTCCACCAGAGGCTGCAACCGCCGAGCAACTAAACGTTTGTCAGATTGCTCAATAAGTTCCATAGATAATGAACACATTCTTTACGTTTAGAACGTGTCTTGTTGTCTTAAAGAAAAAGTCATCACCTTTACATCTTGCGCCATATTACAATTATGAAGTTGTGGGTCACTCAAATCAAAATTTTGGTTGCTGTACGCTCGCTCAGCGATCGCCGTCTAGTGGAAGGGGTAGGAAGGGCGTGTGTACCGGTGACCACGTGATATCTTACCTCCGCTTCTGTCTTGGGTTCGAGATTTCTCCAGAGGCGGTTCTCGTGACTCAGGTCCAGGGTACCCAGCACCACCTGCACCTCCCCCAGCAGCTCGTCTCTGCGCAGGTGCGGCGTCTTGCTAAACACCTTCATGCGCAGCTTCATGTCGTTCAGCATCTGAAAAACAACAAAACAAGAGTTATGTTTATACAAAATGCACAGGCAAAGTGGGGATTATGCAAATTAGGTCCTCATTTGCATAATTTATACTCAACCATGTTCAACTTTCGAGTGCCACAGGTATGAAATTACGTCCAGAAAACAGAGATGGGGCAAACGGGTATTTTTGGATGGTTTGAAAATTATTCATAATACGATTAAGTCGTATTGTGACATATATTTTTTTTCTCCAGGAATAGGATGAAATATAAGCCCAATGTGTACAAAACAACACTTCTATCACTAAGAAATATATTGCTACTTTCTGTATTAACAATGTAATGCAAAAAATCTATTTCAAGCGACTCTAGGGTAACTTGTGCATATCATGCGTGCGCATTCGGCGCCCTTAACCGACCTAATGTGTATAGCTCTATTTGCCCAGGAGCAGCCTATTTGCAGTGTTGCCGTGCCATGCACGTAGAGAAGACACAAATACAGCCGATACATATATATCCTGAAGACTTTCCCCTTTCAATGGCGACGTCAGTCGCGCTAGCCGAGGGAGCAGAAATCAGATTTAGCCGCGTTCCAATTACCGCGAGACCACCGGCAATCTAATCACAACATGCCGGCTGAAGCAATCTCTGCAGGTAACAAGGTTAACATGTATGCGCTGATTGAAAAGGCTGACATTCAATGCCAACGTCTTTGTTCGATTCCTGGAAGAAGCCCGTTGTTGGTCGTCTGAACAATGTCTCAGACTCGTGATTCTTAGTTACTGGGCCAAAGTGCATCCATATAATTAAAGCGCGGCTTCGTTTGTGTAAATGTAGATCCATGCGTTCTGCTTTGTGTACTACTCTCAGTGGTATTCAGCTAAACGAATGCACAAAGGAACAATGCGCGCATTGGACATTTGTACATTTGTACCTGACGAATGTATACAAATTCGTGTTTACGTATATGGACCAACTCCTAAGTTTAGGCATCCAGTATGGCGTGCAATACTGTATCATTGTCATGGGAGTACGAACAGCTATTGACCGTACTTTTTATCGGGTACAATGCGAAAACTTCTCGGTAAAGATAAAGTTTTCGCTGTGGTTGTTCCTCCCAAGCGCAACTTCGATTCCACCTTACCAACCTGTAGTTCAAAGTAGAAACTATCGTTGAAGATGGGATTCCTTGCAGATTACGTTGAGAAAAAGAACGCACAAGTTCTACCGTATTTCCCTCTGAACCCCATTCCTATCCGTTAACCCACCTGCAGTCCCAGCCCTCCGAAGTAGAACTCCTCGTTGAAGATGGGGTTCCTGGTGTGTTTGACTGTGCGCGTCTGCTGGCGGCCCACCTTCCCCGGTAGCAGGTACAGCCGGATGTAGCTGTTGACGTTGTTCTTGGCGTGCTTGTGGCCGCCCAGGTTCTCCGCCTTGATGATGGACACCTGAAAACGTCAGATTTTCGTCTTAAAGGCATCCAATGAAATATTAGGGTGGTAGAACAAAATATATTCTGGATGAGGAAATCTGTCTGATGTTGACATTATACATCATATCGTTTCATACCTGAAGCGTTTGAAATATCACAAAAGCAAGCTACGTGAGGCGTCTCTTTATTTTTGGGTACCGCCCATAAATATCTGGAACGAAACGATACAATATGAAACAAGCAACCGCTTCCGTCAGCGACATACCATTTTTGCCTCTCAGATATCATATGGGATAGGGTTGATTCAACTAATTACATCAAAAGAATGACCAGGAAATTGACTTCCAAAATCCAGTTTTGCCGCACGGAAATTACATGGAATGCCTTTAAGGCTGACACCAAAGATCTGTCCTATAAAGTAGATCCTGGTCCAGCTGACGTGGGCGATCTGTGGGAAACAGATCTGTACACCAGGATGTACCTTCTTCATCTAGTCATCACAACCATTCTTTCAGCACCATGGAGAGGTCAACATTATATATTCAGACTTGAGTTAAATCAAACAACTACATTTCAGACCACAAATTAGGAATATGAAAACACACGAATTACCCAAGCCAATCCGACAACCACAAATGTACCAAAAGTGTCCTAGTTATGTAGAACAGTGAGACAGCAGGGCTTTGCTTATTTCCAGGATGTTCGCCTGTACCTTTAGTTGTCTGCCTCTCTTGACGAACTCAATGGCAAACTTGAGCTCCCCCAGGTAGTGGTCCACCGGTCTGTCCTGGCCGTTCGACTCCCGGAGGGCATATGGGGTGAATGTCGGGACCTGTATCGTACAGAATATAGTACTGATAAATACTTGATGTAACGTTATGTTAGTAAAGTACAGTAAGGCCGTGCTGGTAATCTCCTGGTCGTGATGCCCCAGTGAGGGGTTTTGACCAGTATTACATAGAACTAGAAGTAGAAGGCCTGTGGTAACTACTGATCACTGTTCAGTGTGAAAGTCGGGGCCTTTGTCATGAAGGTTATAGTACTGTTAATGTACGCAGTAAAGAGGTGCTTATTGTGTTTATTATTTATTGATTTATGTTCATTGTACCTTAAATAGTGGTTAAAGGTCTTGTCTTTTGTCAAATCATAACATGTGATTTTAAAAGTTTTTTGTTAACTATAGTAGCCTCATTCTAACGAGTGTTTTGTGCATCTAGTGCTGGTTACTTAACAGCGCACGTTGCGTACATGTGCCACTGGGAGACTGGCCTTTCGTAACCGTGCTGGTAATCTCTTTCTGAGCAAAGGTCAGTAATCCGCGTATCTTCTGAAGCATAATACAAGGGAGTCGACATAATTTGTAAGATATAGCCGGTCCCATTACTACCCCGTTGCTCTCATACTACCTCCCTATTGAACCTCCTGAAGGGGACATGGCGTCTGATAGACCACCCGCATGAGTGAACACGGGATAGTCACGCATGGCCTAGAACACGATCTGTAGATGTACCAGTGGGTGAATTGCCTTTCTTAATCGCGCTGGTAATTTCCTGCTTCTACCTGTACCGGGGGACATGACATCTGAACAACCACCCGCATCACTGAACACGAGCTGGCCTAGAACACGAGTGGACCCTGCTCGTCTGACCTAGATTGTCTGGTCGCTATTTGATCGTCAGACCAGAATCTCCCCATGCACGTGGCGTGGCACGACAAGAGTACCAACGTTATTGTATTTCATTCAATTCTGATCTATTCTATCTTCTCGTATTTCATCTTCTCTCCGCCGTGTAAGAAGGTTGTTTGATGGAGATGGGTGGTTGTTTAGGTTGGGTTCCTGGATGTTGATCTTAGATTTCAGATTTCCGGGAAGCTTGTTAGTTTTTTGACCTTCAAGTTGGATCTCCAGGAACTGCTTCGGGTTTTCATGAACGTATTGGAGCTGTGGAGGGATTGTATGATGTAATTTAATCTGGTATTACACCACTTCCTAAATGCCTCCACATACCACCCACTTACTCCCACCTGGCGCGGACTGTGCCACCTCCAGGATTGACGTCCTTATCAATCAACTGTCAAAATCACCTCCCACCCATAATGCAACCAGACACAAAGATATACAAACCCATAACTCAGTCATCCAACCCATAACTCAGTCATCCTGCCTTACTCGGGAACGAAGAAACAAGATTTAAGTACTGCAGCATCAGTGACAAAGATCCACGTTTGTCATTACCAATAGCATCTAAGCATATATACTCCTTGTCTGTTCCAGAGATCGTCACATTTTAACGAGCCCCGAATATCGCTCCTATCATATGCATACTGTGTGTGGAGAGAGCCAGTCCAGAAACACAATACAAAAACCGTTTAAGTCTTCACAGAACCATTAGAGCTGGGTTGCCTGGCGTTTATGGGCCTATTATTTTGTTTTGGCTTGAGATAACTGAAGCGCGACTCACTGCAATTGACAGCGGAACAATATCAAACGCTCACACGGTCGCCCTTCAGGAAACCTGCGTCCTGACAATTACCACAGTACAATTGATCGTTGATTGCCGTATTGAACTCCTTTACAGTATGGCGAATTAGCGAAATTGAAGAATGTTATTGCGTATCAACCATTCAGTATGTTTGGCTCAGTCATACATGTACATATCAAACCTCATCAGTCCATACATTTCACCTGTGCAATGGAGCGATAGAAGTTCATGCTGGCATAGTCATATCTGTAAGTTTGTTATAAAATGCGCCGACCTATGGTTATCGCATTGCAACAGGAATATGCAATAAAGTATTTCCTTCATCTATTTATAGTATAAACATTCAATAGAACCACAAAGACGTTAGCCATAGAGCTATTGAATCGTGAGACCATAACCACTGGATCAATATTAGCCCGGTAAATACTTCCCTACAATGGTTTCAAATGCACATAAATACATTTGTAACCCGGTGCCCGTGCGGGCTGTAGTCCCCGGCTCTGAAGTCGGGAGGACACCGGCTGTGGTCATAATTAATACCCCATTTACATTCAGAAAATTTCCTTGACACTAACTTGGCATTAAATAGAAAAGGATACGACCCCAAAAAACAATTTAAAAGAATGAGAAAATCATTGAAAAACAATAAAAAATTTTTTATAAAAATTAAAATTAAGTAAGAAAACAACACCTACCTGTAGCGAGTTGCTGCGTGGCCTGGTGGGTAAGTGGTTCCCTCCCCACGGGCTGGTCTTGCGGGGCACGTTCGGGCTCGGCTCAGTGGAGCTCGGCTCGGTGGACGAGAAGTCGATCGGCACGGCGAGCGAGGAGCGCCGCCGGGTCTGGAACCTCTGCCGCCGCACGTACTTTGGCACCTTGGGAGACTTCTTACCGAGGGAGCTAGCGTCGCCCGAGCTGCGTCTGGACCGAGACGACGCCGGCGAGGAGACGGGGGAGGACTCCGAGGAGCTAGGGTTGTAGAAGACGCTCCCTGCGGGGGTGGACCCTGTGCTGCGCCGCTGCTGATGCTGGGACCAGCCGCTGTCCGAGTCCGACTCAGGTGTGATGACCAGCGGGCTGGACCCACGCTGCTTGGCGGATCTCCCGTTGTGAAAGTAAAGCGACTCCTTCCTATTGGTGGTGGGGGACTGGGTGAGGGTGGTGAAGCCGTACGACGTCCGGGTGCGCCCCAGGTGCTGCAGGGTCATGCCCATGCGGGACAAGGGGTCGGCGTTGTTGTCCATCTCGGCAGCGTCAGGTCCAAGCGCGCCCAAGGAGTCTGTGTCTGTGGGAGCGGTGACCACGCCGGCCCGCCGGGCACGGTAGGGCGACACGGCCGGCGAGCGGGGCGGGGTGACGTAGCTCCAGGCGTCCGAATCAGGGGCGTACCCCGGCAGGGAACCCGGCGGAAGGAGCCGCTCCTCCCCGGAAAGGAGCCCGTACGCCGCCTCCGAGTCGTTGGAGCCGCTGTCGCTGCGCTTCCGTGAGGGCAACTCCGTGGGCGGGATGAGGAACTCCGGGATGGTCTCGGGAGTGAGCACGTTGGTGCAGCGCGGCCTGCTGTCAGCTTCATAAGGGCGGCCGGGCAGCCCCTCTCGTGGAGACCTGAGGTTCTTCACGCTGTTCACCAGCCACATTGTGACGGCCGAATACACAGTTCCTTCTGTACCAAGATGTCTGCACCGTGGTCTGTGCTGAAGTGAAGTGTTTACCGTTAATCTGTTGGAGGGATGAAAAGAGGCACAAACGTTACTCAAGCTGACTCGAGCCCTCACCGCTAATAGGCGCGGCGCACGCGAACTGCACCTGCGCCCGCCAGCATTAAAACAAGTCCATTAAAGGGGTCAATACACAGCAGTATGCTCAGTGCGCAGATACACACTAGAGTCTGCACCACGCTCCTTAGAAATTAGCCAAACTAAAGAAATGGTTTGTTAGAGGAGTGAACGGAACATAGTGGGACAGCATTGCCCCCACATTTTCCCCTTAAAACTATAAAAGCCTGGCCACTGTTGTTCGTCCTACATGTCCTGCAACAGTGCCTGAATATAAATAACCCTCCCACACTCACCGAGAATCACACCTTTTTGTGCTTCCTTCTCGTAGTCCACGTTTTTGTTAATCTTAGGGTAATCCAAGAGATGAAAACGCGAAACACTAGATAGACGTAGAAACTATCAGGAAAATATCTGCTTGGAGATTATTGTGATTTTTAAGTAGAATTCTGTCTCTCCGACGCACTCAGGCGGCAGCAACAGGCGCTAGATTTGCCGTGCGGTTCGCGTGCACCTCTTGTTAAAGGCGCGCTGGAGAGTTCTACAAACACACGGTACAAGCTTAATGCAAAATGAGCGCACAAATCACATCTGTCCGCATTACGTATGCACACATTACAGTTCTGGTGAGAAACCTGCACGGGGAAACCCCAACGGGTAGTCATGTATTTCCCTTCATGACGCAAACTGGAAGTGAATAGCATTGATTAAGAGTTAATGAAGGAGCCAACCCACGTCTTTACTTAAGGATGCCGCTGCCATGACGACGCTGGTTCCCTCTGACTTCCGTACGTCACACCCCGCGTATAAGGTTAATGTTTGGGCTGGGTTTGGCCACTAGTGTGGGTTTACAGTTAAGGTCCACGCCAACTTAATAAACACGGCACTCCCGGAAACGGAAGGGTCGGTTACGTACGTCCAGCACTTGAGTCTAAACAGAAAACAACCAGGAAGTCACCTGTAACGGGAATTTCGACGTTCGGGAAAAGTAGACAATAATATGTGACGTGTACGCACTTCCGTTTTGCCTTTGTCGGAAGTGTGTGCGCGCGCACGCGTTGTGTCTATGTTTGTATGTGCACTGTGTGTGTGTGTGTGTGTGTGTGTGTGTGTGTGTGTGTGTGTGTGTGTACGCGCCTGCGTATGTGTATGTGTGTATGTTCGTGTTTGTACAAATGTATGTGTGTATGTATGTATGTATGTGTGCGTGTGTGTGCGTGCGTGCGTGTGTGTGTGTGTATAAGTATTAAATCAAACGTATCCGTACGCTCGCAGCTGTTTGGCATACCGTCTGCTAATGAATTATTTGTTATTTGTTTTACACTGTACTCGTAGTAGTTTTCATTAGTAATATTACAAAGAGAGGAGAGATAGAGGGGGGAGGGAAGGGGGATACAATCACATACATAGAGACTGTTTTGTCTTCCAACTTTTTTTCTGCTTCATTATATTCTTTACTCGAAGAAGCATGGTCGTTTAGAGTCATTGACGATCAAGTTGTATGAGTAATACGTGAGCCTCTGAGCCACGTGTGGGCAAGTGTCAACCTTTCATGTTACGATTTTAGTAAAAAAGACCTGTAATGTAGAACGTGTGGGTGAATTGCGAAATGCAGAAGCTCCAATGAACTTTTTCCGCTTTTATCTCAAAGTTCCGCTTGAAAATTTCATAAGAATATGGTCCGCGTGACCTTACCCTGTTTTATCAAGCGGAATGAAAAGCAAATCCTTGTACAAACCGCCCCGCCCTGACAGGCCTGGCCTGCACGCGACCGGCGCACACATCAGAGCCCGGTCCGACGTCACAGGTATGGGCGCGGGAGGTCCCGTAACCTTGATCTACCCGTGAAAGTGAAATTTGTACGTTTCGGTCTGACTTCTGAAGTTTCTTCTGGCTAATTGTTATTTGATGTTGGACGTTCCAATGTGTAGATTCTGTCTGCCGGGGTACCGGGTGCATGTGGCGAGTGCCACACTTGGCAGGGACTTTATACAATAGTCCTTCGGTGTAACGCACCAGCTTCACATGTACATGCACCAGCTTCACATGCACCAGCTTCACATGTTCGGTGATGAACCAGCAGCACCTAGCTTCAGTGCAAAGTGAACCAGTCAGAATAGCCCTGATGAAGATGGCAGACAGTCATCAAAACGGCTCTTGCAAACTAGTGGTTGTGAATAAAGAATTTTGATATTCAGGCAACCATACATGTCTGACGTCACTCTAAAGGATGATTTAAGCATACTTAAGGGCACCAGGAGTCCTTGAGAGCGAGTGGCCTTGATACCAGCGTCAAGGCGAAGCTCGTTAATCTCATTACTTCCACATTCTCGTCGCCGAATTCGTTAGAAGCTGTGAGGATGAAATGACGAGACACGTCATACGTTTGTTTGACGTCACACTTGAGGACACTTAGTGAGGCCATGGGTACTTGAGAGATAGTGAAGTTGTTTTAATCGTCAAATTGAAGTTCATTACTTTCTGGCGGACGTCTAGTCTGAAGTTTCACTTTTTTGTCCTCCTTCTCATCCTCTTGAAGCTCAGATGGAGAGATCTGGTGGGTCCAGTCACGAAACTCTCACACAATGTTAGAAAGTCGAGTATACTAATAGTTCTGTCCTTAAACCCCCAGTCACACACCCACGACTTTCCCAAGACATTGCTCCTAACGAAGATTGGCGATGGGTTGGGAGTAGCCTGGGATCCATGCTATTCTAGTTCCTGGTCGAATTCGCTGATCACAAGCAGAATATGACTTTGTGTCTGACTTTGGGTTTATGTGTTTGTGTGTTCGCGCCACTCCTTGAAGCCGTCAACACAAGCGCGCGCACCTAAGATCGAGGTCGCTGAAACCAGAGGCGATAAGCGTGCACGTGTCCGACCAGAAGACGTCTCCCTGCCTACAGTAAAGTCCCCCACCTTCTATCCTCAAGCCCCTGTCACATATAGCCGAATATGGCCTCCCCAACACTAACGGAAGTCGAACCTGGTTGGTTGGTGCTCGCCGCTGGAAGGTTCTGAATATGTGACGGGTTGCAGGAAACACCGTTCCGCGTGGGTGGGTGTGGTCCTTGACCGATGTGTCAGCCTTAATGACCATGTCCCGCTGGTCAAGCCGACGTATTACCAGAGACGATTAGTACGTCTTCGCCCCGCTTTTCAGGCATTTCGCCGCAGGATAGATGCCAGGCAGGCACCGGAAAGACTGAGATTTCTCCCAAACCGCGACATTTGTGTAAACCCTTCAGCCTACCCAGGAGTCATCACTAGTGTTTGCCTCCCCTTATAGCAGACATTAAGCTGAACTACCGTGCTCTGCTGAGACGTGAGACTTACCTGAAATGCCCGGGAAGCTTTTATCTGAAACTCCCGAACGTCAGTCGGCTTTTAGAGAAGACGGCACTTTCCCAACTCCCTAAGCTTAGGCCACGACAATTTTGTTCTGTAGAAAACATTAGTGCCTGTTCACCCCTATCTCTTTTTGCATAAATAGATCCCGTTAATGGAGAAACTTCAAACTAGGGCGCTTAAATGAAAATTATTTTCCACTGTGAGAGGGGCTTCCATCTCCGTAGACATGGAAGTTCCGCTCCGTTTAGTAACCTTATGTTATGTAAACTGCTCAGTCGTGGCAAGGATCATTTGATATGATTGATTGGTTATACTGGTGCCGGTAATAGCGACCCATCTCATGTCTTTAGGGGATTGCCTAGAATACAGTCTGTCGCCCGACAAAAGACAGAACGTTAACGGTCTCTATATCTCGATTATCGCGAACCCCAAGATGTCAGCTTTGTAACTTGAGATACCACAAATGGACGCCTTAGGGGGACGTGTGCACTTGTTGATGGCCTCTCTATGGGAGGCTTGTTCCCGAAAATAACAAGAATGGATGAAGTGTACATCGAGTCGCGGTTAATTGGGAGTTGGTTCAAAGGCGTCACGAGCAGCGAACAGTTTGTCTGAGTCTCACCGGCTCTTACCTTAATCAAACGCCATCTGCAGCAAACATTCATTACTGTGGACCCTCCTGTGTAGCATCCATATTCCGTATATTCATGAAGCTTGCGTCCCGCTCTCAACGACCTTCACCCGACTTTTTGGATCGCCAGAAAATCGCAAAATTTCAAAATTGCCAGAGAGTAAAGGGTATTTTTCGCCTGACGACCTACCCTGTTGCACTAGATGGGGCTTGGTGCCCTGCAAACATCGGCTGATCCCTAGAAATTACACAGATCGAGAGGACACCGGCCGCATCACTGCCGATAATGTACTTTTGAGCTCACAGACACAGGCTCGCCTGGCGAGCTATTTTCTGGCCGTGTGGCGCCGGCTTTAGGCGAATTTGGAAATGTTGCGTTTCCATTTTGGAGACTTTCTGTACACGTTTTTCTGCTTAACATGTGACGGTGAGCTATTTCCCTGCTGTGTGACGCAGGCTTTCCTGTGGAGCCCCCTGTACACAATACATACATACATCACTTTAGCCTGGATTCCGGGCTGTGACCAGGGCCTACACAGGCCACTCCTGGGCTACAGGACCAACATGCCCACAAGTAAATATATCGAGGCTACATTCAACTGAATCTTAGCTAATATAGTGTTACAGTATTTATGTGCAATATCGAAATTAGTGACATTTGTTAAGTCTGTGAATTTATGAGAAAAAGGTATGTGCATATTTTCTGTATCAGCCTTGTTAGTTGTATACCATTCTGAAATATATATAAAGGTATTAGACAATTTGTCAGGATAGTTAAGTTAAAGATTGTACAAACAGACAGAAATTGATGAATCTGATGTAACAATTTATTATCTATGTACATATGTATTCGATACTCAATAAAGAACAGAGATGCAAAAAAATATATATATATATATATATATATATATATCGAGGCTATCATCACTACGCCTCCTGTTCATACAGCATACTACAATCGACCGGCACGGGAAGGAAATATGATATAGAAGGTGTAATGAGGAGAGATGTGGACAGGGATGGTGGTGTGGTGATACTGGCATGTTAGCATGGGCATATTCAGTGTACGGCATTGCTGAAAGTCGTGCGACAAGAAATATCGTACGGTGACTGAAGGTTTATCAGGGGAGTTAAGGCACCTAATGCAATTACAAGGCAGAAAAACAAAATATATTCTGGATGTTTTTCAGCTAGAACCAGCCTGCGGTAGCAAGAAGCCGTTTTCCGCCAGCGATATCGCTTTTTTTTCACAGATATCAGTATGCAATGGATAGAATTAATTTAACATACTAAATTTAAAAAATGACCAGAAAATTGATTTTGAAAATCCAGTTTTCCGCCCTGAAATTGCACTGGATGCCTTTAACAAGAAGATAGTAATAAACGACAAAGTGGGAGCGAGAAGAAAATCTGACAGCAGTTGACCTTCACGTAGACTGTGACTGAATATGTGTAACATTTCTGGTGAGTTGAGAAGATGTGTGGGGAATACAGAACACAAACGCGGCTGGACTGGGTACAGAAATACAACGGAAGTAGAGAAATCAGAGGGTCAGAGGCCGTGGAAAGGTTATAGGTTCCAAATGAAAGACATTTG